TACTACTACTACTACTACTACTACTGCTGCTCCTGCTACTTTACTACGACTACTACGACTACTACTACCACCACTACTATTACTACTACTACTACTACTACTACTACTACTATTATACTACTGCTAGTACTAGTGCCAGAACTTGCACTAGTACTAGAACAAGTGCTCGCACGAGCACTAGTACTAGTATTGTTTTCACTATTACTGTTACTAGTATTCTCAGTGCTGTTAGCTGTAGTAGTAGTAGTAGTAGTAGTAGTAGTAGTAGTAACTTAGTAGTAGTAGCAGCAGCAGCAGACGTCCTCCACACGGTGGTGGTCATGGTGTCGATGGTGTGCTGCTTGTGCTGTGGTTGTAGCGTCTTGATTCGGTGTCTCAGGTGAGTTCGCACCAGGTGTACATGGCGGTGCCATCTCAATACTTCTAGCGGATTCTGCTGCTGCTTCGACCAATTCGGCTGTAGACTTCAAGGCTTCTGCAGCAGGGTTTATGAAGATTGCTGGAGTGCAAGTCAGAGACCTGTGCCAATTTGTCATTGAGTCAGGGTCGAAAACTCGGTGCCATGTGTGGATCAACATTGGGGGGTTCTTTTGCGAGAGCGGGTCTGACCAGCAGCCAGCCACACTCTCAGGTTGTTCAAATCAATTGATGGCAGCAGTGCTGAACAAATGCAAACAAAAAGCCGGCATACGCATTCCTTCTGGTGGAGTGAAAGGATGGAATGTCATATTATGTCACTACTGTCCAGTGAATGGTTCGCCATATGACAACCTGGTCTTACTACGAACACAGACGCACAAATGCACGCAGTGTCAAGCGATATGCATTTGCATATGTATACTACCCGTTTTCAGTTCCCCAGGTCCGAGAGCTCACCGTAGTTTACAATCACGGTTTCGAAGCCCTTGCGCCCCGAACGTGTGAATCGGTTTTAAGTAGCGTAAAGGATGATGTATCATCAAGCCCAAGGAGGCATGGCAACACGAGATGTCGAACTCCCGTAGACACAATCATGGCAGGAGGAGAACAAAAGCAAAGCGGCATTGAGGTTTATTTGGCTCGCCTGACTTGGCAGCCCAATGCAGTTCTCGCCAAGCTCAGCTGCCAGTGCCCTCGGCGAAGTGTTTGTGGCATGGGTGGTTGTGGTGTAGTGGCTGAAGTCTGACATACTGGGTGTTCGAACAAACTGAGCATGAGAAGAGAGTGAAGGCCCCCCACTTCTGTGTAGAGTTGGGAGGATTGATACAGTAAAGTCGCAAGGATTGCACTTCGAGAGTTGAGAACATGCGTGGCCTGTCTGTCTCTGGCGCCAGCCGGATCATGTTTGTCTGTCCCTGTGTCTCTGTGTGTGTGGGTTGGTTGGTTGGTTGGTTGGTTGCTTGCTTGTTTGCTTGCTTGGTTGGTTGGTTGGCATCTGTCCGTGGGCACGCGCGCCCTCGTTTGCGAGCGCGTTCGCACGTACACATGTGTTCGTGTGACAGCTGGACACGTCCCGTCAACTACAGACAGTATTGCTTGACTCGCATGACGTTTCTGCAGGTTCTCCAAACCGTGCCCGTGCTTGCAAACTCTGGAGGTTACGGCTACCTGGGGCAACATGGCTTATTCAAAATTCTGTGCTGCAGGGTTACAGTTTCGGGTGCTTGGGCAGGGAGTCTGGACATGACTTCGGGCATTGCATGAGGTGCTTCAGAGCAGCAGCAGAGAGTGATGAGCAGTAACCTAGGTCCTCCTTTCAGAAACTTAGGTCCTCCTTTCAGAAAGCAGGGCTCTGCCCTTATTCTGCATGTTGTCCGTCAGAATAGAACAAGGACAAGTCCTCAACACCGGACATCCCAACCCGACATCAATCAACAATGCCACGCCGTGAACAGAAGCTTCTGGACAGAGAGTGAGACTCTTTCGGCCTGATATAAAAGGTCTAAAGCCTATTGGGTTTAGGGTTTGTAATCCATAGTCACCCTCGCAAAAGCCTCCTTGCTTGTTACCTAGATGCCCAATAAAGGAACAGAGACCGACAGCACAGAAGGAATCCAAGTTTAGGGTTGGGGCTCGGGGAGCTTTCGCTTTAGGCATTCGATTGGAAGGCCCGGCACCCGGCACAAAGCTTCGTGGGCTCTTCTTCCACGACCTGCACTTCTCCCCAGAAAGGAAACCTCCTGCCTGCCCCAGAGGACTTGAAGTTGAGGTCTTGGGTACGGTTGTAAATAAGCATGCGTATTCAGTACTTCATTCACTTATGACTCATATGCTACGATTTATTGTGTTGGGGTTTGGGAGTTGAGTCAAGTTTCAGTCCGAAGCCGGGTCCGGGTGAGTCCGGGGTGTCGGGCTCGAGCGCTGAGGTTTGGAAGACAACTGGGCCCACCACTCGACTGGAATGACCACGAAGGTGTACCTGAATCTTGTCTTCTGCTGCGGGCAAGAATGTTCGGTTCTGATTCATGAGGTTTTTTTGCACCGAATTATAGCCGAAGCCAAATCCGTCGAAATCCCCTTTGCTGATTTGCCCAAAGCTCCAAGGAAGGCTGGCAAGACGACGATCGCCTCCGCTGAGGTGCTGTGGTATCACATGTCAGCTTAGAGTTTAGGGTTTAGGGGTTTAGGGGTTTCGGGGACTAAATTTGGTTGGTAGGACGTGGTTGCAACTAATGAAAGAGGCCCAGGGTAGGGTGGAAGATGACGAGTCCTTCTAAGACTTACGCTTGTCTCGAGCTTTTGATACACAACATTCCGGTTGAGATTTGCGCTGTCGTCAGACAGGCTTCCACAAAATTGACTCGCAACCTCAAGTTGGTGTCTTCCTTCGGCATATCTCATATCATATTATAGTATATTACACTATATTATACTAGAAGCCTGTCGGTTTGTGACACGCGGGTCCGTCTAAGGTCAAGGCGTCGCTACCCTAGGCAGCGCCACTGTCAGTGGCGGAGCCGATTCTAGAAAAGGAGCATAAAAGCTGCAAGCAAGCGATGACACGTTGGGAGTATTAAATTAGAGCTAAGATGTAATCTGTATGGTGGCCACGGGAAGTGTTCGTACTCTTTCACAGCAGGGGGACGGCCAAAGCAGCTGCAAGCTAGGCCTATCTCCTGTCCTTTCCAGAGAAGCCCTTCAAGCTTCCAGCGCCTGGTGCCGCATTCCACATGAGTCGTTTGACCAAGCATCAAGGGGTAATTGCATGACCACTCCTGTTGTCTTGCATATATAGTATGTGCGTGGTGTATCCAAATGTGTATTACTTGACCTTCTTGGTGTCACTCTTTGCGTTGATGGCGCGGTTGGCACCAGTGTTCTCGCTATGCAATGGTCTCGCAAGTTGGTAAGCAAGAAGTCTGAGCTGCTGCATGTGTTGAGGCAGGTTTTCAGAAGCCGTTATGTCGGCCAAGCCAGCCCGCACTGATATCGAGGTTCACCTGCCAAGTCGTTTCAGCGTGGCCCGGCCAGGTGCACGAAGTCTTAAAAGTGCTTCAAAGCGTTTCCGACTCTGGGATTGGGTTGGACCCCGCTGGGCTGGCTGAGAAGTAAACCAGTCCTTGGGTAGAAGCGAAAAAGCTGGAAACAGAAGTGGCTGCGGAAACAGAAGGCTGTGGTTTGCTCTTCACCAGAAGGTTGGGGCTGCACATGAAGCAATGGAAGGAAAACGCAGTGCACCAGGTGTGGACTGGGTACCTCCCGAGCTGGCAGTGGCGAAGCTTCCTCCTCCCGTGCAGCAGATGCCGGCCTACAGCGAGCAGGAGACGCCCAGCCAGAAGAAGAGATGAGTTTCCTTGTTGCTATTCCCTAACCCTCCAGGTACCTACTATATAGGGTACTAGAGCCCCTAGGGCCCTATATAGTAGGTACCTGGAGGGTTAGGGATTGGTGGTCGGGATCAATTTAAGTGTAAGCACAGAGGGGTGTGAACGAAGACCTCGAAGCTTCGGCTCACTTCCGAGCCTGCGACATTGACCGGGGTGATGCAACGTTCTATCTGTCCGTCTGTCTCTACGCTTGTCTTTTTGAAAGGATACCGGGCAGGAAGAGTTGTTACAGGCGCATGGAGGCGGCTTGCTTCCTTGATGGCTAAACTTGCATGCATTCACCAGGTTCCTCGTGAGCGACCATCTGAGGTACATGAAAGCTGTCTTCGATCGAGATCAGCACGTGCTAGATCCAAGGTGGCATCCATGTTGGCAGTAGTTCCTACTGGTTGAATGACTATCCAGATGATTGATTATCTAATTATGTGCTCAGTTCTTATGGGGACAAACAAGAACATTACAGACTTAATTACTATAGGCCTAAACAATCATAAGCAATGATATGTGTAGATCTACATATATCTGTGTATACACACACACACACATGAATGCGCATGTGCGTGTGTGTTTATAGCTTTATGCGCGTAACATGCTGTGGGCAGTGACCCGGTCTCCCTGTGGAAGAAGATGCCACTTCAAAGAGCTGTGCTGCATTGCTTCGCAGAGTTGGGTAGACGTTCATTTGCTGGGCTTCGAGATAAAGGTTCCCGTTCTAGGGCATTCTAGGGTTAGGGTTTAGGGTTTAGGGATTCATGCAACCGACTCCAATACAAGCACTAACAACCGCGAGCAGGTCTTGCGCCGTTGTGGAGGAGGTCGGTACTGAAGAGCGCAATGCCAACCAGGGCTGGCGCAAGCAGCTTGGCCGAACACGTGGGGCCATGTGGGCTTGGGTCTTGAAGGTCATCGAAAGTGTTCTTTTCATTGGCCCCCGCAGCTGGCATAGCCCAATGACAACGACAGTAAGAATACTTAGAGCAAAAACAGTAAGAGCAATGGCAATAATGGCAATTCTCCTCCAAGGGAAGGTTGGAGGCCTGGGGAGCTGATCCCATGACCAGCTCTCCCTCCTCCATCTCTCTCTCTCTCTCTCTCTGCTGCCTCCGGGCTAGGAGACCGGTGTTTTGCCCCCCACATCTCCCTAGATCCGCCACACATCTTCGCCGTTCCTCTGCCCTGCAATTGCGGTGTGTCTGACCACTGAAGATCCTGGCTTAGGGCTAGGAAGCAACAAAACAATTAGCCCTACTAATGTGTTTAGACTTACTGCAGTTGTTATTTTTATTATGCTGATGCTTGCATCGCCTCTGCCAGTTACTTACTTGAAGAAGTCCGGCGACACATGCGCACAAACGAGCACGCCTGTCGGCATGACATGAGTTCCCGGGTCGCAGAATCCAGCAACTGCCGCTTCCGAGAAGGCAGGCACGCAAGCGTTTCGCCAGTAGACAACGTGGTTCCAGTGTTCCTTCCAGCCGCATCAGAATCAGAGCCATATCAGCAGACCCATAGGGTCGGGACGGTGTGTTTAGGGGTCCTCAAAAGACAACTTTAATAAGGGTATCTCTCAGTTAGCTGTCCGCTTTTTGCCCAAACTTGTTGCTCTCACTCCTTTTGTAGACGTAGATGTCGATGGCGATGGCGATGACTGCGACTATGACGCCGACGGCGATGACTATGATGGTGGTGATGATGACGACTCCGATGATGCAGCGACGGAGAGGGTGGTCATGAACATCTGCTTACCATCATCTAGATCAGCATCATCATCACCACCATCATCATCACACAGATGGTCATATCAACAGCTATGTTTACCGGGCTCAGCATTCTACTAACTCGTGTGCTTCTAGCTCCCCCGCCGGCCTTGCGTGTCCAGGCACCTGAGGGCCAATCGGCCTATTCGGGGCATAGGAGAGATCCACCACGACCTTTGCTTCCCCGGAGGCCGATTCCTTCATCGCTGCAACCTGCATGGGGTTTAGGGCTTAGGGCTTAGGGGTTTAGGGGAAATATGTCCTGCTCTAATTTATAGGATTGGATCCGGGGCTGGAGCCCTACCTCGCAGATGATTTCCCTTGCCACCTGGTTTGGGTGGAAGGCTCCGAGTGCAGCTGCTACAGTACTGCACCTACATTGGCCGATGCCCAAAGCTTCCATCTTACACATCTTACTGAGCCCCAAGCCCTGCCATAAGTCTTAAATCCCTAAGCCCTAAAATCCCTAAACCCTAAACCCTAAACCCTAAACCCTAAACCCTAAACCCCAAGCCCTAAAATGCCATGGCCTCCCTGTTGCTGCAGGTCTTGCGCCGGCAGCAATGAGCTCGGAGAAGCCTCTCGGCCCAAGCTTTCGTAAAGGAAGCTGAGACCAAGCTCCTCTTATCGAACACCGCAGTAAGTGTAGAGTTTACCAAACTCTAACAGAAGGCCGTGCACTCCAAATTAGGGCGGAGCGCTTATAGTTTGGAGGGTACTGTAGAAGTCTCGGACGTAGAGCCCCGAACAGCGAAGCCTCCAGTCGGCCGAGGTATCTCGTCCAGGAGATGCGAGGGAAGAGCCAGATTTTGGTTGTTGTGTTTGGAGTCGGAGCACTTTTTTAAGATTGTCGCCGCCGTGTCTGTTAACGACCGTGGCAAAGAATGTCGTTGTTTCTTTGGCTTCGTTGAGATGCCGGAGTTACATTGATGTCGCCTGGTCAGACGAGCCCTGGCCCTTATCACGCGGCTACAGCAGCATCCCGAGACCCCAAGACTCGGCGGATAAAAGCCCAGAAGAGCAGATCGTCGAACAAGAGTCTCCGGTCTCCGGCCCATGCCAGGACACCGCTGGCATCAGATTCGCAGCTTGGAGGCATGAATGTCAACAGGCGCAGTGACTTTGGCGACCAAAGCAATACGACTCATTACGATTCTGCTATGCTCATGTGGGTGCAAATGATATTGTATAAAGTTTACATAGTTTTTACAAAGAGTGCTAAGGTAGGCGCCATCAAGCTGGGCCCGCAAGCTTCCGAAGCCATCTACTTGACAGAGGACGGGAGTCCAGGATGCAGCTTTGGAGTTTGCGCTCTGAGAGCTGAAAACTGTCCATGCTTGAGGGATGTCTCAGAGGTTGCTGACTAGGTGCTGTAGGTCATGCACATGATGGTAGCAACTCTTAAGCTATCCTGTTTCTGCAAGCTGTTCAAGAAGGGCCGCTGATTATGAACTCCTTGATCACCGGTCGTTTCTCATGACTTTCTAGATTACCGCTCATGTGTGCCCAGAGCCTCTGAGCTAAGGAAGAAGCTCGCAGACGGCACCTTGTCCTTGGCCCCCAGGCAGCAGGAACGTGCGACAGCACAGGAATGCAAGCACCGGAGCAGGTGATTTGACCACGGGCCACAGGCACCAACGAAAGTCGAAGCAATAGCAAAGACTGTCGCTACACAAAGGATCACACGACTGACAAAGCCCGTGCGGTCATGATGTAGCATCCAAGCGGCTTCTCATCAACAGCGGATCAAGAACGCCAGATCAGTGGAGGGGATGATGTTGGAACAAACGGAAATTTTGCGCTCATGAATGATAGGTAGAACACCACTCCTAAACCCAGCTGGGTAGTGAAGTAACCTATAGGTTTGTTTTGCCACGTTCCCTTCTGTTGTGACGGCTTCTGCTGGCTACCATGGCATTCCTGCCGCCCTAGTGCCATTCCCTAAGGCTCTAAGGACCCATATTTTAAGGCCTTTGGGCCTAACGACCATACTAAATAGGGCTTTTGGGCTACTTTGAGCCCAAGGGATTCCTGACATCTATCATAGGTGGCGCACCCTGCCATGGGTATGGCAGCCTTGGATGACCACCTTGCCCACCTCCCACGCTGCGATGGACGTGCTGCCTGGCAGGATCTGTTGCAGAGACCAAAGATACTTTCGGGGCCTAAATACTTACCTATACTATTGTTTTTTTTTTTTTTGAGGGGGGGG